GTTTTAGTCGGTAAGAATCCAACACTACCTGGGTCTTCTTCCCTTAAAAAACTCAGGTGTCTTATGAAGATTTCCTCCACGTAAAAAAAAAAAGAAAAAAGAACAATGATGTGTTTGAACGATATTGCGCAGAGGAAGTTTGAACGTTTCACGACTTACAGCTTTGTTTCCGAGCAGCGTGTGGAACTCGCTGAGGAGACGGGCGTTTTGTTGCAGAATCGCGTTGAGATCGACAGGTATAATGTACTGCGTCGAGATGTTCAGCAAGTTGGGCATCCCGCTTTTGTTGTTGGTAATGCACCACCTGTACGAGAAGTCCCAGCCACTCTCGGCGCCTGCCTTTATGTTGTTGTAGAAAAAATTCCGCGACTTTTCCGGCAGCTGTTGCGCCATTTCGTAGTCCTCCCTGACGAGGAGAGAAAGACGAAAACGAAAGAAAGTAGAAACACAGTCAAGTCGAGGGATCGAAGGACTTAGGGATGGCAGATCGAACCTTCAGCAGAGAGAGTTCTCTCGAAACGAGAGAAAGGAATATATATCTTGAGTCGAGGAATTGAAGGATTTAGAGGTTCGAGGATCCCAAGGTTTTCAAAGGTCCCACGAATCAAGAAACGAGAGTAATCCCCGAGATAAAGACGAAGCTGATTGTTCGACGAAGAATTCGACGCACGAAGTTGAATCGTTGAATTGCAACGGATCGTCGTTAAACTGCAAACTGTCGTTTTCTACGTGGACGAAATACGGGCGCGACAGTTTCAACTTGCAGCACGAGTCTATTAGAAATTTATGCGCGCCGGAGTATGAATGCGGATTGCACTTGATTATGCTTGCGTCGCATTAACGGTTCTAAGAAGGTTCTACTCTGTTATTTGAATAATTGCCACCGTCGGCACTAGGTGTAGATTGTCTGTCGCAGCTTCGTCCAAGTTGCACAGCGTACGTGTTTCGAATATGATTTCACTTGACAACGCATTGATTCCGTTTCGGATATTGATTCGATCTCGCGCGTTGACGTTGAAAGAGCAAAGTTGAATACTGGTCGTTCGGCTCTGGATCAGTAACGTTATCTTCAGAGAGATCGTGTTTCAAAAAACGCCATAAGTTCGTCGAATCAAATTTAACACCTATATATACTACGGGTAATAATTTTCTGATTTATTTAAATTATTGTCAGTAGATGGCAACGTTTGCTAAATTAAAAAAAAAAAAATGACATTAACATTTATCGGTACTCCTAATATATTTCACGGAAGACAAGTCCTATCTTTTATAAAACTTAAAGATTTGCAACGATTCTGAACGAAATTAACTCTTTGGTTTTGACACCTAGAGATACTAATGTTTTAAAAATTTGCTTTCGAGGTACTGTTGATTGCTCAATTCACGTTGGTCGAATCAAACTAAAGGCGCCTTCGCCTTTTATATTTGACGAAACAAATTTCACAAAAATACAGCTCAAGTAGAGCACACGTATGTAAATCGAAAGGTAAAAAATACTGGCAATCTTCGCAAAGGCACACGTAAACAATACAATAATCTTGGAAAAATGCAAATGTATAGTGTGTAGGAAACATGACAGAAGAAGAAACGTGGTGTAGAATTATGCGTTGACCCATGTTTCGACTTGTACCAAATTTGTGCTAGATTAGATATTGTATCAAATTTGTACTAGTTAGATATTGTATCAAATTTGTAATTGAATTGTTAGTGCACATATTAAGAATTTAACTTTAGTAACTTTAAGCCTTCATTTCAGAATATATACATACATATATATACATATATACATATATA